GAGGTCCTACCAGCTGTGTCACGGCTCCGTCCAGCTGTGACCTCTGCGTTTCACAGCTGTGTGATGTCAGTCAGCCGCCTCGGGCGGACGCACAAACACTCGCCTTCACGGTCCGGTGAGCTGATCCGGTGAGTGCGCCGCCTCGGGGCGTCCAGCTCAGCGCTGATCCCGGCCGACAGCGTCGCACAACACGGCCAGGCAGACTCACTCGGGTCTGAGGGATTCACACCTCCGCTGGTTGATCGACACAAACGTAACGCAACTGTGAAGAGGCGGCTCGCTGCAGAGCGTCTGGTGTCGGTTTGTTGTTTGGGGACGCGTCACAAATCGACACAGAGCGACGACGACACAAAACCAACAGGACACACAACTACAGGGGTTGTTTCTGTCCTGTTGTGGTTGTTTATTGTCTCGTTGTGCTCATTTGCATCTGTCTTTGGCCATTTTGTGTTTCATTGAAGTCGTTTTGTGTCTTTTTGTAGTAATTTTTTGCATCTTTGTGGTCATTTGCGTGTCTCTTTAGTCGCTTTGTGTCCCGTTGTGGTCGTTGTGTGTCTCTCTGTAGTCGTTCTGCGTTTTGTTGTGGTCGTTTTTTTGTGTCATTTTGCCGTCATGTAATATTTTGTGGTCATTTATTGTCTGTTTGTGTCTTTTCATATTTATGTTTTGTGTCTTTGTTGTCATTTTGTCTCTCTTTAGTTGTTTTGTGTCTCTTTATGTTCATTTTGTGTCTCTTGTTGTAGCGTTGTGTCCTGTGTTGGTGATTTTGTCTGTCTGTTGTCGTTCTCTGTCTCTTCCTTGCAGCACATTCCTGCATTGTGTTGGTTTCGTGTTTCGTTTCAGTCGAGTGGCGTCTGGTTTTGTGTTGTGCTTCTTTCTCCCTCTCCGGGGTCAGTTTCTTTGTTCAAATCCCGTCTCTTCCACGGAGGTCAGACCTGGAGCGTAAATGAAGACTTCTGCTCCGGGTGTTAAAGAGACGAGAGGAAGGATTTGACATCAAAGCCGAGACTTAAAGCTGCAGACCTGCATCTCTGAAACAGCTGCTGCCCTAAAAATAACCACAAACTGTCCAATTAGAGCCTCAAAGCAGCACACGGTCCCGAAATAGTCCAGTTTGTGCTCGATGCACGACAGCTTTCTGTGGTCGGGTTGTGTCCTTGTGGTCCGTCTGTTTCTGTTGCCGACAAACGGCATCATTTTGCTGTGACGGTTAATCACCACTGAGAGGACGCTCGTGTCAAAGAGATGCTTCACTTTACTGGTTAAAGAGAGGATAAGTGGAGGGAAAATCCCAACTGGAGTGGATTTACTGGACTTACAAAACAAAGAACTGGTGTTCTGTGGTCCCACCAGTCCTCATGTAGGTTGTACAGGATCCGGTGTTGTAACGACCACGTGCATCATCCGCCGACTCCTAAAACTCTGGATCCTCCATCGTGGAATCACTGAACCACAAACAGTCGTGGACAAAGAAAAGGGCTTCTGGAGGAACGTTCTGTGGTCGGATCAAACAAACACTGAGCAGAGAAGGTGAAGCCTTTAACCCCAAGAACACCAGACCGAGCATCAGGCATGGAGGTGGCAGCATCATGCTCCAGGATATATATACATATATATATACATGTGTGTGGGTTACAGAGCTCTGTTCTGCTCAAACACACGTCAAAGTGGTGAAGAAATGGTTAATGGAGGTTCTGGACTGGTCAGTCCTGACTGAAACCGTCCAGAACCTGAGGACTGATGACGAAACAAGACAACGAGTTCAGTGATAAAGGATCAGATTGAAGGTTTGAAGCAGCAGCTGGATCCGTTTAAAACCTGCAACACGACAAAGCGTGCAGAAGGAAAAGTGTTGTTTCTGAAGGCTCTTTGTCTGGACGGATCTGCGGCTCTGGATCGGCGGTTCTGGATCGGCGGTTCTGTTGCTTTAGCGCTGACGTCCGTGTTTGTGTGAAGCGTTGGGCTTGAACATAATCTAACGTGTCGCTGCC